CCCGAATCACTAAGGAAATGTTGAAAAACAAAAATAAAACTGGCGGCATCACGTTACCTGATTTCAAGCTTTACTACAAAGCTGTGATCACCAAGACAGCATAGTACTGGCATAAAAACAGACACATAGACCAGTGGAACAGAGTAGAGAGCCCAGATATGGACCCTCAACCCTACGGTCAAATAATCTTCGACAAAATAGGAAAAAATATACAGTGGAAAAAAGACAGTCTCTTCAATAAATGGTGCTGGGAAAACTGGACAGCTATATGTAGAAGAATGAAACTCGACCATTCTCTTACACCATACACAAAGATAAACTCAAAATGGATAAAAGACCTCAACATGAGACAGGAATCCATCAGAATTCTAGAGGAGAACATAAGCAGTAACCTCTTCAATATCAGCCACCGCAACTTCTTTCAAGATATGTCTCCAAAGGCAAAGGAAACAAAAGCGAAAATAACTTTTGGGACTTCATCAAGATCAAAAGCTTCTGCACAGCAAAGGAAACAGTCAACAAAACAAAGAGGCAACCCACGGAATGGGAGAAGATATTTGCAAATGACAGTACAGACAAAAGGTTGATATCCAGGATCTATAAAGAACTCCTCAAACTCAACACACACAAAACAGACAATCATATAAAAAAATGGGCAGATGATATGAACAGACACTTCTCCAATGAAGACACAAATGGCTATCAGACACATGAAAAATGTTCATCACTACTAGCCATCAGGGAGATTCAAATTAAAACCACATTGAGATACCACCTTACACCAGTTAGAATGGCCAAAATTAGCAAGACAGGAAACAACATGTGTTGGAGAGGATGTGGAGAAAGGGGAACCCTCTTACACTGTTGGTGGGAATGCAAGTTGGTGCAGCCACTTTGGAGAACAGTGTGGAGATTCCTCAAGAAATTAAAAATAGAGCTTCCCTATGACCCTGCAATTGCACTCCTGGGTATTTACCCCAAAGATACAGATGTAGTGAAAAGAAGGGCCATCTGTACCCCAATGTTTATAGCAGCAATGGCCACGGTCACCAAACTGTGGAAAGAACCAAGATGCCCTTCAACGGATGAATAGATAAGGAAGATGTGGTCCATATACACTATGGAGTATTATGCCTCCATCAGAAAGGATGAATACCCAACTTTTGTAGCAACATGGACGGGACTGGAAGAGATTATGCTGAGTGAAATAAGTCAAGCAGAGAGTCAATTATTATATGGCTTCACTTATTTGTGGAGCATAACAAATAGTATGGAGGACAAGGGGAGATGGAGAGGAGAAGGGAGTTGACGGAAATTGGAAGGGGAAGTGAACCATGAGAGACTATGGACTCTGAAAAACAATCTGATGGTTTTGAAGGGGTGGGGGGGGGAGGTTGGGGGAACCAGGTGGTGGGTATTAGAGAGGGCATGGATTGCATGGAGCACTGGGTGAGGTGCAAAAACAATGAATACTGTTACGCTGAAAAGAAATAAAAAATTAAAAAAAAATAGAGACCTCTCAGGATATGAGGAATATCTATATGAAAAAAAAAAAAAATCTCTAAATGCTCCAGAGGGGTACAAAAGAACAGTGGAGTGAATGAAAAGACCCACCATGATCTTGAACAGGAAGCCTCAAAGCATAAAGACAGGTTTTCTCTTTAACCCCAACGTTGAACATGGACTTAATAAAAACACGGACAGGATTTTGCGTTTGTTGTTCCAGGCTTAAATGTTAAACCAATTTTGAAGTTCCTGTGGAAAAAATAAGCAAGAACCATGAAAACTTTGGGAAAAGAGAGTAAAAACAGAACTAATCCTACCTACCAGATATAAAAGCAATAAACTATAATTATTTTAAAAAATAAACTATAACTATTAAATGGCATGTGAATAGATAGATTGGTGGGAGAACAGAGAAAATCCAGAAATAAGTCTAAAAACATACAAAATTTAGGCAATGATCAAGTTGGTATCTCAAGTTCAAGGGGAAAGGATGGATTATTCAAAAGATGGTGTTAGGCCAAGTAAGTGTCATCTAAAAAGAAAATTTGTGTTCATAGCTCTTATCTTTCATTGAAATAAATTTCAACTGGATCAAAGATTTATATGTGGGGGGAAAAAAGAACAAACCATAAAAGTACCATAAGAAACTGAGAATTTTTTTTTTAAGATTTGTCTATTTTTATTTTAGACAGAGAGAAAGCAAGTATGTGAGCAGGAAAAGGAGCAAGAGGAGAGGGAAGAGAGAATCCTCAGGCAGACTCCCTGCTGAGTGTGGAGCCCAAGCAGGACTCCATCCCAGGACCCTGATCATGACCTGAGCCGAAATCAAAAGTTGCACACCCAACTGACAGAGCCACCCACGTGTCCTGAGAAACCATGTGAGAATTCTTATGTTACCTCAGAATAAGGAAGATCTAATTGTGACATAAAACTAAACTAAAATCATAAAAAAGATCATTAGGTTTGACAAATTAAAAGCATTTTCATGCCAGAACCATTAAAAGAAGTCGATTGGCAAAGAACACAATAGAAAAAAGATTTAAAACACCTATCACCAAAAAAAAGGTTAACTTCTCAAATATATAACGTATTCCTACAAATCAGTAAAAAGAACAAAGGTTACAGACAATTCAACAGAAAAAGAACTACAAATGACCATTAAAAAGATGCTCAACCCTATTCACAATAAGAGAAATGCAATTTTTCACCTACTGATTTGCAAAGATCAAAATCTTTGGTAACAGACTGCACTGGTGAGAGTTTAAGGAAACAACACTCTTTGCACATTAGCACAACCTATGAGGAGGGCAATTAGAAACCCCACTGGCAAATGCACCGACCTTTCATCTAGCAACGTCACTTTTAGGAATTTGCCCTTCAGACATATTCCATATTCACACATTTATGAAATAACTTATGTCAAAGGTTATTCATCTCAATACGGTTTGTAATAGCAGAAGACTGGAAACAACCCAAATGTCTAGCAATAGAACGCTGTCTAAATTATGGTCAGCTGAAGGAATTCCATGAGGCCTAAGAGAGAAATGATCCTTACATATTTTAATATGAACTCGTCTTCAGGATATACTGTTGTTATGTACAGAAACAACAAACTCATGCTGCCGGTTGTTTGCGGTGGAAGCAGCAGGGAGCTGAGAGGGGCAGGGAAAGAGACTTCATTGTTTACTCATCTGTATGTGGTCCAAATACTGAACCATGTGAATATACTTCCTATACAAAAATCTAGGGGGGGAAAAAAAGCCCTTGACAAATGTTTGATAAATCAGGTTATTCCTATCAATTAACTCTTGCCACACAGGCTCTAGCAAATTTGCCCTCATAAGACTTGACCAGCTGGAACACCTGGGTGGCTCAGTGGGTTAAGCCTCTGCCTTCGGCTCTAGGTCATGATCTCAGGGTTCTGGGAACGAGCCCCGCATCGGGCTCTCTGCTCGGCAGGGAGCCTGCTTCCTCCTCTCTCTCTCTCTCTGCCTGCCTCTCTGCCTACTGTGATCTCTGTCAAATAAATAAATAAAGTCTTAAAAAAATTAAAAAAAAAAAGACTTGACCAGCTTATCTTAATATCTGATTAAGAAAGCAGTCTTTCTTGAATAATGCAATTTTGTGTTTGAGCAGAAGAGTAACTTATATGTGAAATAAATGGGCCGGGTAAGCAGTATCAACTTCAGGGTCCCAAGCCCCAATCCGCACTCTCCTAAAGACCCTGAATCAGTAACGTGAAGGTAGAAACTGTGATCTTAGACAACATAATTCTTTCTCTTTTTTGTCATATATTTTATAATTATTCATTTTGTTAAACTGTTTTACCTCTGAATCTGAAGATGTCAACCACTCTTAACAGTGTTTGTTTGCCCTGAAGTACTGTTAAACAAGCTGATTATTCAGCCACACAAATGAAAAATCTACCCTTATCATCTAATTTTAATATTTAGGTGTTTTTCTAAAAAGTTCTCTAACCCCAAATGTATTTCCAAATAGATTTGTTTTTTCCTAATGTACTATACATTACCTGGAAGCCAGAGTGGAAAAAAGATTTTTTTGTTTTACTCTGTAATCATCCTAATAACCAAAGGGAATGAAACACAATTTCTTTATGGCAAAGCTGGTTTATTGAACTTCATAAGGGAAATGTTACAATGACACTATTCCACAATGAAATTATTTAACTTTAGATTTCTTGAGGAAACATATTAGCAATATACTGTCAATAAAGCATCGTCATTAATAGCTAACTACATTAGATTCTGGATTAGCTCCCTTCAGTTGTTCTCAAATTAAGACTTTCCCAAAACATACCTGAAGTTTTCTGCTAAGGGTCATAATTAAAATAAATTCACACAGGAGTTACAAAATGTGTGACTTGTGCTTTAAAAATTTATAATTATTTGTTTGATAGCCACCATTCTGGAAGTGATTTCTCAACAATGAAGTGTTTTATAAATATTTTGGAAAATATCTAAAACCTTTATCCCCATTCAACTGATAAGTGTGCTCTTTAAAAATTAAAAACATGTAGAAAAAAATTAAAACAGCAAATCACTACAAATGAGATACAAATATTTTAAAATTAATAAATATTAAAGTGAAAAAATAAGTTCTTTCACAGAACTGTAAATGATACCTATATTACGTTCTTATAAAAAGAAAGTTATATATATTTTTTAATCATTATTAACAGCACTTAAAAACACAAATGTGCTTGGAAAGTTTGTAAACTTTCTTCCCACACTTGAAAATGTTTTAAAAGCAATAAACAGATTCCCTTCTTTAAAAAACTGTTACACCCACCACAATTAGCACAGTTGTCATTGTTTTACTACAAAAATAGTTACAAATCAACAATTTAAATTCAAACCATTTTTAATTCTAGCATGATAGGAAAAATGGATTAATCTCCCTAAACACAGACAAAGCCAACTTGTTTTTCTTTAAGCTCTAATATTTAAAACTGAATAATTATTTCCTATAATTATTTTTCAGTTCTTTTAATAGCATTATCTTGTTTTTATAATTAAATTCTCCAATTAGGATCATCATGATGATTAAACAGAAATCCTAAACTAGATTAGATTACCTATCTGATTTCCCACATTCTGAAAATATTATAAGTATAATCATCTTTTGGCTTAATTACTTCCAAAATTATCAAGGACATCAATCCATCAGAATTAGTGAATGTGCACACTTCAGTTAAAGTTCATGGCTTACATTCCATTCATGTAATAGCTTTGTATGAAAAGTTACTATTTTCTATGTGCAAAGTCTTAAGCTCAAAATAAACATATTTAGGGTAAGAAACTTCTTGAACTACTCTTTACACCACTGAGGGAGAGAGACAAGGTATTTGTCAATACCTACTTTATTTTTCATACTGAGGAGGAACAGCTCGTTGTGACCATAAAATTTAAAGATTTTTAAAGACTGATACACTGCAACACAATATTATTACAGAACTATATGCAGGCTCCGAGGAATTAGAGGTATGCCTTCAGAGCCACAATTCCACATGGAAGTTGATTTGTTAATTCAACCTTTAGTCATTAAATTGACTGATGATGGGGGAGAGCAAGAGATACTATGCCAGATACACAGCTTGGAATTACTAAGAGCTAAGAACAGGTCTTAGTAGCCAGGAACCACATTTTACCTGTTTTCCCCCAAGTTATAACTCCTCCAATGCTTTCAATTGGTTTTTCACTAAATATACCAAAATAAATTATAAAGCACCTTATTATGTCACTTCATTGACATTAAAGTCAGACTTACATTTGCATATTTTAGTAGAATTTAGTAAGAAAACAATTCAAATTATTTTCCTAAAAATAACAATGACTTCTGTAGATCTGATTGATATACTGATTCGAAATCTCATGCATCTGGAATCTCTGGAAGTCGTTCTTTATGCACTGAGAACCAAAAAATATTCTATGCCTTCTCCCCACACTGGAATTAAATACAGTCTTGGTTCTCAAATGTACCAATAGTAATGCAATAAAATACATCAATAATACAAAGAAAGAACTCTAGGGAGAGGCAATACCAGTTTTGTCCTAGTAAGAACACTTCCCATTCAAAGGACATACCTAGTAAGTATGTCTTAAACCCTTGATTTTTTTTTTTTCTTCAATCCCAGGAACACAGGATTGTATAGTCATCTACTCCTAAAATACCAACGTGCTCTCATTTGAAGCCTCCTTCACTGGGCTCTCAATGGGAAGATATTCTGATTCATCCTACCTTTACTTCATTTTCAACCTCACATGAAAACCAACTTTTGTCCTGTGTTGTCACAATGACAAATGTAATTAAGTAGATACAAAATACAAAAATTAGCATGACAATGATAAATAGTAAAATGTCAGGATGATCCATTATATTTGAGATTAAATCTTATGACTTATCACTGTCATACTTCAAAAGCATTTCTTTAGTCAAAATTAGATAGCAGAATAAAGACTGTTACTTAGCACCAGCATGTCATTGCAGGCTTTGGTTCAGGCTTCAGTATAATTCCGTTATCAGGGGGTTGACTAAGCATTAATGGTTTGTGGCTCTTAAGTTTATGAGCCAAGGTCATAAATATAGCTTCCACATGGTCATTATCATTGGGGTTTTTTGCAGAGGTTTCAAACAAAGGCATACTGTGTGTGTCAGCAAATTTTTGTGCCAAGTCTGTAGGTACTTGAATGGCACTTCTCAAGTCACATTTATTTCCAACAAGAATCCGTGGTATGTCACTGGCTAGCAAATGTTGTTTGCATTCTTCTATCCAAGATGGCAGACTATGAAAACTAGCCATGTTGGTCATATCATACACGAAGACAACAGCATGGACATTTCTGTAATAGTGCTGTACCATGCTCTTCCTAAATCGTTCTTGTCCTGCTGTGTCCCATAACTGGATCTGAAAACGAAAAAAAGAAGAGAAAACTGAGAATTTCATTTCAATTATACATATTGAATATTTTAATCAATTCCACGTGGTCTTTAGTACTTCTTCACTTAAATTACTTTGTTCCCATCCATAATGCCTTTTCAGTGTAATTTATGGGATCCAGACGTCATGATCTTACAGTTACCTCATAATCAATATAAGTGTCAGAACAAATATTTCAATTCAGCACTTAAATTCAGTAAGTTAAATTTGTTTGGATGAAATTATACCTCAAAAACTGATTTTATTTTATTTTATTTTTTATTTGACAGACACAGATCATAAGTAGGCAGAGAGGCAGGCAGAGAGAGAGGAAGGGAAGCAGGCTCCCCGTTGAGCAGAGAGCCCTATGTGCGGCTCGATCCCAGGACCCTGGGATCACGACCCGGGCAGAAGGCAGAGGCTTTAACCAACTGACCCACCCAGGTGCCCCAATTAACTAATTCCTGTAAATCTGGTTACTGGTTACTATACGCCATTCTACCTTTCATCAGACTAACTTAAAAGAGTCCCTTAAGACAGATGCTAGGAGTCATTAGGTCTAGTCCCCAAACCTATATGTGTATATGTATATACACATATATACATATGTGTATGTATATATATATATACATATATAGAGAGGGACATTCTATGAAATCCCCCTTGAAAATCTTAAAAGGCTAGAAAATCACTTATTTAACCTAAAAATATCTAACAGGCTATTCCAATATCCCAATATCTCCTAATTGAAATATGGGGGCTGGGGGGGAGTTGAGGAAAATAATTATCTACAGCTAAATATAAGTCATGTGTTATGATTCTCTTAAAACACTGAATCACCCTGCCTTTGTTTACTTCCTAAAAAAGTTAAGTGATGAGGGTAGAAAAGACTAGAGGTAGATTTCCTTAAGTATGGGGCACCTGGGTGGCCCAGTCAGTTAAGCCACTGCCTTCGACTCAGGTCATGATCCCAGGGTCCTGGGATCAAACCCCCATCTGGCTCTCTGCTCAGCAGGAAGCCTGCTTCTCCCCCCACCCCACCCCCCCGCCACCTGCCTCTCTGCCTACTTGTGATCTCTGTCAAATAAATAAATAAAATCTTAAAAAAAAAAAAAAAGATTTGCTTAGATAAATTTCGACCAAAAGACTTGTACTACTTATATAAATTAAGAAAAGCCTAGACTGGTGATTCTTCACAGAGTGACAGAGAAGTAGAGGGAAATGAGGGGATTCTGTAGATGGCCCACAAAGAAGAATATAAGCTATAAAGTGCTCAGATTATGGCAGCACATGGTAAGTGCTCAATTAAGATTTAACAAATGAATAAATACATTTTAAAACATGTGATTAGAGATTAAAATATCACTAATCTCTTATATGGTACCTTAACTTAAAAAATTTTTTTTAGTAATCTCTACACCCAGTGTGGGGCTTGCACTCACAACCCAAGATCAAGAGTTGCATGCTCTTCTGACTAAGCCCACCAGGCACCCCCAAGCTACCTTAAATTTTATCAGCTCTGATTTTTTTTTTTTGGTAGTTCTTTTTAAGACTAAATTTCTTCATTTTCTTAATATTCTCCCTTTCTTTCTAATTAACATAAACCAAATTTTGCTCTAGGCAGAAATATAAAATGCTATATAAACTTGATCTCTCAGGCTCTCCTAGAACTAAGGGAGGCCAAATGACATAGTACTCACCAATAATTTGTAGACAGTCTTTCAGTGGGGTTTTCCAGGAAAACTATGGGTACGTGATTTTAAAAAGACAGAGCATTTGGCACGTGCCTTTTGCACCTCTCTCACCCTACCCTTTCTGCCCGGAATGGGATATAATGACTGGGGTTCAGCAACCATCTTATGAGCATGAAGAAGACCACACACAGGAATGGCAGCAATCTACATAAACCTGGAATCCAGCTGACAAGGTACCATCACACAGACTGCTGCCTCCTTATAACATGAGACAAAGAAAACCTTACATGGTTAAATCATAGCTGAATTTCTCTTACATGTAGCTGAATGGTATCCTAAAATTACTTATCCCGCACACTGTTTAAAATCTTTATTTATCCCTTACACTCACATTTACTCACTAAATCACAGGTTTGGGCTCAATGCCTTCCCAAAAACCATGTCACAAAATAAATTACTATAAAATACCACTCTTGTGATGTAAGCAATATAAATGGTAAATAGGCCATAAAGACTCAATATCATATAAATCAGAGATAAAAGCAAATAAGTTGTCAGCAAGGTAAACTAAGAACTACTAACTACTAATATCGAAGACTATTTAAATTAACAAATATTTATTATAGATATATAATATATTATATAATACATAAATATAATAATATATATAATATATAATCATATATATATTATTATTAGCCATCATTAGCCATTAAGGAAATGCAAATCAAAATAATATATATAATAAAATAATAAAAATATATATTATATATTTATATATTATATTTAAATTAACAAATATTAATTCAATGCCTCCTATGTGCCATAGGTGACTGTTATACCTCTCAGCCTTAGCTTCTACACCAGTGCAAGTAAAATTTAGTTTCAGACCCTATAAAATAAGAACTCATAGACTAGCTACACTGAGTATGCAAAGAGCTAATATTTTCTTTGAAAATACAACTTTCCTTTATTTTTTTTTTTATATTTTATTTATTTGATAGAGATCACAAGTAGGCAGAGAGGTAGGCGGAGAGAGAGGAGGAAACAGGCTCCCTGCTGAGCAGAGAGCCCGATGCAGGGCTCGATCCCAGGACCCTGGGATCATGACCTGAGCCAAAGGCAGAGGCTTAACCCACTGAGCCACCCAGGCGCCCCACAACTTTCCTTTAAAAAAATAAAACTTTTGGGGCACCTGGGTGGCTCAGTGGGTTGAGCCTCTGCCCTCGGCTTGGGTCATGATCTCGGGGTCCTGGGATGGAGCCCCACATCGGGCTCTCTGCTCGGCGGGGAGCCTGCTTCCCCCTCTCTCTCTGCCTGCCTCTCTGCCTACTTGCGCTCTCTCTCTCTGTCAAATAAGTAAATAAAATCTTTTTAAAAATCTAAAAAAAAATAATAAAATACAACTTTTTTATCCCTACTAACAGGTTTAGAATAAAAACACTCAACACACAATTAAAAATGCTTCTAAAGATATCAAAAGATATTACACAAAGCTACAATAATCAAGACTGTGCTACTGGAATAATATTAAACATACAGATCAACAGAACAAAACTTAGGGTCCAGAAATAAATCCATATATCTGTGGTCAACTGCTTTTCAACAAGAGCACTTAGACAATTCAATAGAGAAAGAATAGTTGTTTAAACAAATGGTTCTGCACAACATACAAAATACAAGGTTGGACCTCCTACTTCACACCGTATATAAAAACTTATCGAAAATGGTTAAAAAAAAAACTAAATTTAAGAGCTGAAACTATAAAATTCTTAGAAGAAAACCTAGGGATAAATATTTGTGACAAATGGGTTAGACAATGGTTTCTAAGATATGATATTTAAAGCACAAGCAATCAAAGAAGGGATAAATTGGACTTCATCAAAATTAAAAATGTTTGTGTTTCAAAGAATATTATCAAGAAAGTGAAAGTCAACTTACAGAATGGGAGAAAAGAGCTGCAAATAATATCTGAGAGGGGTGTACCATCCAGAATATTTAAGACCTCTCATAACTCAATAATAAAAGGACAAATAAACCAATTTAAAAACTGGCAACGAATCGGAATAGACATTTCTCCAAAGAAAATGTACAAATGGTCAATAAGCACATGACAAGAGACTCAACATCATTAGCCATCAAGGAAATGCAAATCAAAAAAACAAATGAAATACATTTTACACTCACACCAGGATGGCCATTAAAAAAACAAAAAAGATGGACAGTAACAAGGGTTGGTGGAGATATAGAAAAATTGGAAACTTCATACATTGCTGGTGCGGATGTATTTTAAAATAGTACAGCCACTTTAGAAAACAGTTTGGCAGTTCCTCAAAAAGTTAATCAGTCTATGTCTATGATATACCCACAAAAAGGAACAAAGTACTGATATGTGCTATAACACAGATGAACCTCTAAAATACACTAAGTGAAAGAGGCCAGACATATATTCTATGGTTCCATTTACATAAAGTATCCAAAATAGAGAAATCATAGAGAGAGAACACAGACTGGGTGGTTGCCAGGGCTGGGGGATGGGGAGAAACTGCTGACTGGGGGAGGGACTTTACTTTGTGGAGTGATGGAAATATTTTAAAACTGGACAGAGATGTGGTTATAAAACATTATCAATCTATTGAATGCTGCTGAATTGTTTACTTTAAAATAGTTCATCTTGGGGCGCATGGGTGGCTCAGTCGTTAAGCGTCTGCCTTCGGCTTAGGTCATGATCCCAGGGTCCTGGGATAGAGTCCCATATTGGGCTCCCTGCTCAGTGGGAAGCCTGCTTCTCCCTCTCCCACTCCCCCTGCTGTGTTCCTTCTTTTGCTGTGTCTCTATCAAATAAATAAATAAAATCTTTTAAAAAATAAAATAAAATAATATAGTTAAACTTATATTATCTGAAATCCACTTCTATAAATTATTTAAAAGAAACAGAGTTGCTATACAACCCAGTAATTCCACTCCCAGGTATGTACCTAAGAGAATCGAAAAGATATGTTCACACAAAAACTTGTATCCAAATGTTCATAGCAACACTATTTGAAATAGCTAAAAGGTAAAAACAACCCAAATGTCCATCAACTAATAAAATGTATGTCCATATAGTGGAGTATTGTTCAGTCACAAAAAGGAATGAAGTACTGACACATGCTACAACATGGATGAATCTAGAAAGTGAAGGAAGCCAGACACCACAGGCCACATACTGTAAGATTCTGTGTATATCAAATGTCCAGGATAGGCAAATCTGAGACAGAAAGTAGACTGACTGGTGGCTGCCAGGGTTGAGAA